TGAAGATGCTTTGTTTGCTGATGATAACTGTCGTTAGGTCTCACATCCCGGAACCATTCGCGGAACGTCGGGCCACGGCGGAAATACACGGCAATACGTATTCTCCGCCCTTCCCCATACAACAAAGCCCAGACATTTGGTCTATCTACCCCACGGACTTCCTGGGCGGCCGAGCTGTGCAGTTCAGCCGGAAATATCCTGGAGATGCAAAGCGACAAGATGGCTCGCACCGTAAAAGGCAGGACCCTTGCGTATGACGAAAGGGGCGGGGGGAAATGACCACTAGGCACGCAAACCTACCCGCTGGACGCATACCCGGATCTCCAACATGCCCAGTCCACCATCGCGACACCACATAGGCTATGATCCTAGTTGCTTCTCCGCCAGATCCACCTCCTGACCGCCCTCTCTGGGTCTTCAGCAGTGCTGTAAAAGTCCGTGGTAGGAGCCCTGCAGCGAGCTTGCAAACCCTGTTATTCCCGTCCACACCGGGCCACCACGAACAAATGTTAGCCGCTCGGCGCTCAGATTCAACTCGTCATGTCAAAGTATTTCATGTACTGCAGGACCCCCATCGACTGCGGGCCGGCGCGCCTTGGACTTCTCCTCCAGCGCACTCCACTGAACGAATCTCTTCGCTACCTGGTGGCTTCCATGCTTTGGAATGAATCTCAATGTCACGCATGAATACTCGTCCTATACACCATGCAGGGCGATATCGATGCGCCTCGGTCCAAGGGCAGGCCCTCAACGCATGAAGACCTGGGCGAGAACCGACAACCCATTGCTCCTTTTGCATTCGATGCCAACACACCCATCACACACCGATATCTCGGCTTTGACACCATTTTGCCTAGTATATGCTTTGGAGATATTGACGTGGACGCGCATCAGAGCCTACCACCATGTCCCGACGACTCCAAGTTCGGCTCACCATTGCAATGGCCCCAGCATCGTAAGAATCTCGTACTAGCCCTGTCTTGTGCGGCGACTTTCCTCACGGCATACACATCTGGCTCGTACTCTCCTCCCGTAGCGGCCATGGCAGAGGACCTTGGTTCGTCCAATATTGCCATGATTGCCGGCATTACAACGTTTTGCATCGGCTTTGCCCTCTCACCAATGGTACTAGCACCCATCTCGGAAATCTACGGCAGAAGAATCGTGCTTGTTCCCTCGGGTATCACCTACGTTGCTTTCCAGGCCGTCTGTTCAGTCATGCCGAACCTGGCTGGCATGCTGATAGCCCGCCTTTTCGTTGGCATCGGAGGAGCCGTCTTCAGCTCCGTCATTGGGGGCATCATTGCCGACATGTGGAACAAGGATACGCGCAATACCCCGATGGCCCTCTTCAGCGGCTCGGTCCTGGCCGGCACTGGTGCTGGGCCCCTCCTTGCCGCCGTTATGATGAGCAGGATTAGGAACAAGACTCTTGCCTGGAAGTGGGTGTTTTGGCACCAAGTCATTGTGGACGCCGTGCTGGTCGTCTTGATCGTCTTCTTTCTGGACGAGAGTCGTGGGTCTGTCCTGCTGTCACGCAGGGCCAAGATCCTCAACGAATGGTACGAAGCACTGGAGGATGCCGGCGTCTACGGCTGTCATTTCGAGGAGCCTGAAGTTCTGAGCGACAGTAGCGACACGACAACGTCGGGCAGCGACGAAAAGCTTGCCTCTTGCCCGTGGACAGCCGCCGACCAGCCCTCTCGAGCAATGACAACAGCAGTCCGCCTGCGCTGGCTCGTGAAGGAGGACGAAGAGCGCGCTTCCCTGGCGCAGCTGATGAAAACATCGATGATTCGGCCGTTCCACCTACTCGTCGCCGAACCTGTCATCTTCTTCTTCTCCCTCTGGTGTGCCTTTGCCTGGGCGGTGCTCTACTGCACCTTCGGCACCATCCCGCTGGCGTTTTCTCGCGTACGCGGCATGAACATGGAACAATCGGGGTACTTTTTCGGCTCCATGATTGTCGGTGCCTGCGTCGGCACCGTCGTCAGCATCTACCAGGATCGTCTACTGGACCTGCCCCAATGGCGAGCCGACAGCCCTGTCGAGACGCATTCCGCGTTCTGGCTCCTCATGAGGCGGCGCTTCCCGGCCGAGGCCCCCGAGTCGCGGCTTTACTTCACCTGCCTCACGGCGACTTTCCTGCCGGTCGGGCTCTTCCTCTTTGGCTTCACCGTCGGCTCCGACGCGCACTGGATCGCGCCTGCTTTCGGCATCGGGCTCGCGACCTGGGGCATCTACTCTGTGTACCTCGCCACCTTTAACTACTTTGCCGACATTTACCACATGTACGCCTCGTCGGCGCTCGCCGCGCAGTCGTTCTGCCGGAATCTGCTAGGGGGTGCGTTTCCGCTGGTCACGGGGGCGTTGTTCACGAATCTGGGGGAGGCGCGGGCCGGTGCGTTGCTGGGCGGCATCGCCACGGCGTTGACGGTCATACCGTGGGCGTTGGTGTTTTTCGGACAACGGATCCGGTCGCGGAGCAGGTTCGCCATTGTAAGTTCAATCAATGGGAGTGTCCATGACGGCGGATTACTGACACTGGACAGGCACTACAATCGCAGTAATGATTTATGATTCATGAGATAAAGAAGTGACGATGATATGTGCCTCGAGAAACAGTCTACTGAAGCGGCACACAGACCCCGTTCACCGTCCAGCCTCCAGCAAGAGATCTTGTCCACTGCAGTATGATGTGGAGGTACTCTGAGAAGCCGGGCACAGGCTTGAAAACGACAATCTCCCAGACCACAAGTCGAGGAAGACATATTGAGCGACCCAAGACGACTGATCCGGGACTGAATCTCTGATCAGACAAAGCCGCCACCGACTGGGCAAAATCAACGTCTCGCTCCGACTGCTGCGTTCTTCGACACCGCGACCTCGCGAGCGCCCCTCCATTGGGCGCATGCCACAACCTTATTGCTCCTTCCAGTAACGTCCAACACTCGGGCCTTTGCGATACGGAATGCATCGGCGCTGGCGTGTAGCAGCTTTGGTATCGCGCCAGCTCGACCCACGAATTCGACTCGGGCGTGCGGAGGAATCTGGCGACAGAGCCATTACTCCCAAGGACGAGCTTTTCGGCGGTGCTGTCACTTGTCACGCGAACTGTCGTTGGGGAGGGTATGCCATGCTTTGCTTGATTCGAACGTGGGCAGGACACAGCGTCCCTCCCCTTGCTGAACTGCATCACGACGATTGGCCGTTCCACCCTGCCGAGGAACACGGCATCCGCCTTTCGATGCAGTTCTTGCGCGACAAAGTTGCTGTCAACTTGGTCATTGGAGTTGGCAATGTCGACTTTTGCATCGCCATTGGCTTGGGCGTAACGCGTCGTGGCGCCCGTCTCAGAAAGGCTCAAGAGTTCAAACTCGCCATGATGTCGGCTCGTAGTGGTCGTCTACGTAGGGGCTACCGCCGGGAGAGAACGGCGAAAGTACCATTTTCTAGATGGCTCGTCTTGCCAGAAGTGAAGGAGCCGGCGACCGAGGCTGTTTCGGCCGCGGACTGCCACGATGGCCTCGAAGTTGCAATGGGACGTCATGGTTGTGTGCCGTCGATGCGAACAGGACAGTGAGGAAACGAGGAAGAAATCGGAATCTACAAGGTGATCAGTCAATGTAATCTGCGACGGTATGATTTGACCTCGGATATGGGAACTGAATCACGCACAATGAGGGTGAATTGCCAACTTGAATCGCAACGTGAAGGGAACGTGTCCGGCCCCTTTGTGCCCTTCTTTGTGCAGCGCGCAGCACCGCCGGAGCGTGGCTGTTGGCGGGATTCCCGCGGCGTGCTGCGCGAACAAAGCCTTTTATTTCATTCTTGATTTGCCAGCTCCATGCTGTGTGAAAGATGTTGATTCCAAGTCTGGTGTCAGGCACCGTAGCGGAGCGTCCCGGGTCCGTCCTCGTCGACAGCCGGTGAGCTGGCAGAATGAGTTTGTGCGGGAGGGGTGGCCGAGCACAGCGTCGTTGGCCCTAGCATCAACGAATCTTCAGTCTGAACACTGCTACACGACAATGGAAAGGGCTTCCCGCCAAACCAGCAACATCATACGCGAACACCAACGGTGGGACTACGGACTGGTGAACGTTATTCACAAAGCCATTGACCTTGTACCGCAAGCTGTCCCCCGCGCATCAACACGCCTCATCAAGATCACTGACGCGCCTTTCAGGTTCATCCATCACAGCCCACATCAACAGCCATGTCTGAGGACCATGACCGCGAAGAACGACCACGATTCACCACCACAACCTCCTCATCTCGCACCAGCGCCACACGCCGAGCGCAGCAGCGTTGACACGACCTTGTGCACATCTGCTTATAAGGCGAAGCGCGCAACATGTCCTCTCTTCCTTCCTCTCCTCATCAAGCCAACACACAAACAAGATACCACACTCACACATACACAAAACAAAACACTCGCAAAAGGTAAAAGCCAAAATGTGCAACCTTACCAACCTCATCGTTAACAACACCATCGGCGCCGCCGTGGTCAACGCTAGCACCAACGCCAGCACCAACGGCAACACCAACGGCAAGTTCGTTCCTGCCAAGGCCGTTGAGGCTCCCAAGCCCGTCAATGCTGATAACCCCTGGACCTGCGTCTGCGGGTACCGCAACGAGTACGGCGGCATGATCTGCGGATCCTGTGGTCGCCGCGGCTAAACCAGACCACAAGAAACTCGGTGTATCTGACTTCCATGGTCGAGGACGATGCGGTAAGTCAAGCCAACCGGGTAAGAAGCACATAGCAAGCCATGCGAGACACATGTGTGAGAACAACAAGGACAAAGCGTGATGGGAGGAAAAAGGGAAAACACGCAAAGTAGATAGTCACAGAGGGTAGCTAGCGGGCTTCTGTAAAAAAAATTCAAGTCGCCTACCTTGAGGTAAAAAACAATCGTATGCCCATTCTGCCGTGAAGCCATGTACTTTTTTGCTTCTTCGTAACCTGGGGGGGGCCGCCCTGCCTCTCTCATGCATGCTCATGATACGGTCAACAGACTGTCAATGTCGACGCGCTCGAAATAACTTATATGCCCAAAGTCCACCCAGAATTGCGCCAGCCTATTAGGCGATATCAAAAACAGCTGTGAAGCGATGTACTTGTCTGTTGGAGCACGTCAGCGAATCACGTACCCCGGCCGATGTGCATGCAGGAGGGTGACATGTGCAGCAGTGAGATGCGCAGCCGTCAGAACATACCGCTAAAGTACCCTGTATCCGCCACGTGCCCCCTGCTCTTGACGATGCGCGCTCCGACAAAGGGTTCCTCCGTCGCAACACCGGCAGACCCCTCGGGACCTAGGTCTTCAGCGATAAAGGTGTACTCGCCGCGGGGCACATTCGCGTCTCCCGTCAACTTGATGGCTTCAAGCCTGCCGCGGTACACCCTGGCCTCGAGCTGTCGCTTCGCCCAATCCTCATCACTCTCCGAGGCGTTCCTCGCGAGCCCGAGCTCTTGGTCCGTCGCGTCCTTGTCGTCGGGCTGGTTGATCAAAAGAAACTCGCACCCGTGCCCGCTATAGTCGCCGACCCAGATGCCGCGCCACGGCTTGTGCGTCGTGGGTGTGTACAGGGCCGGGTCCAGGGTCGAATACGTATTGATCTCCTCGCCAATGTGGGGTCCGAACGGCGGCCCACGGGGCGGCATGAGCGCTATGGGCGGTAGCATGTCGGAGCCGACATAGTTGGCCATATCCATCCACTGCCGTATGCGAAAGGCGCGATCCGAAGCCTCGGCCCGAGACTGCGGCTTCTCATTGAGCGCCTCCGCAGCCGTCGGCACAGCGCCAAAGCCTGCAACCCGGTGTTCTGCAGGGATGGGCTTTGGGGGCCAGATGCAGTCGTACGGAAAGGCTTTGGAAAGGGCTTCGGTGGCCACGTCGTCACTGACGGGTCGTGCGAGGGAGAAGTTGCTGAAGACATAACCTGCATGGTTGTCCAGCATCATGGCGTCTCGGCCTGGGACTAGACGTGACGCCGCGCTTGTAACGCCC